CACGGAGCCACTTCCTATTGTGATCTCCGCAGCTCCTAAAGAGTTTCAATGGGGGTTAATTTCTCACTTTCTGTCGCACTCTTGTCGCTCTCTCCCTGAGAGAACAAAAGGAAAAGATAAACATGCCATGTGCCTTCTCGTACACAAACAGCGTTGCCAACTTGGGTTCCTTTTTAAGTTCTGAAGGACTCTTGAAGAACAAGAAGACAGAAATCTCCGGCTGGTGATGTTTCATGTCTTTTGTTTCACGGCAGGCGAACATTGTAGCTAAATGTCTGATGGTTGAAATTGCCTTGTTTTTATCTTGTTCTGTTGCCAATCTCTCTTGAAAATGTGAATTTTAATCTCAAGTTGGGATTTTGCCTTACAATCTGAACCTGCCTTAAACGCCAACACCCAGTTTCTTTGTGCCCCGTCTCCTGTTTCGGCTTTTGTTAAGATGTTTGTTCACTGGGATGAGTGTTTAGTTGCCTGGATTTCCAAAATAAAGTGTCTGCGGTATGGAAAACTTCAAAAGAAACACTTTTTCCTTCCGGGAAATGATTCTGCAGGATTTTGTCTCACATAAAAGCCTCTGAGCTTCTATTGAAGTTTGTGGTTTTAGCATGACAAAATGCTGAGAAGCCTGGAGGGAATGAATACTTTTCCCAAGCACTAAACTCCATGTCTTCGTGTCATTATAACCTGAGCTCTCGCCACTTTCTTCCGCAGTCAGATTACTTCTTTTGTGCCTTGCCTCTTTCTTTCAGTCCGCTCAGCATGACTCGAAAAGCAGCAGAAAACCGGCTAAGACTTTATCAAAAAAAAAAAAAAAACGAAAATAAAAAAAAATAACAGCGTCGAGTGGCTGCATGAAAACACTTTGACTTTTAGCATGTGTCGGCAATCAAGATTCTCCCGCTGAGAGGGAAGTTAGCACCAAAGTGCCTCTCGGTGCACACAAAAAAAACCTTGCGGATAAAAAAGAGCCACTCTCATTTTGGCGAGAAGGAAATGAGCCGAGGAGAAAAAGAAAATCAGAAAGCAAGCTTTTGAGACTCCAGTGATTACTCAAGCCTCTTTTGTTTTCTGTGGTTATCTCTTCATTTTCATTTCTGATAAGCATGTTAAAACATGCTTTGGGGAACTCACCATGAGACTTGTTAAAATCTAGTTAAAGGTGAGATCTGAAGCAGATTCGTACTTCACTGTAAGAACGTTTTTCAGATCTGGAAATAAGTTTTCGAGATTAAAAGGGAAGCAGAATTTTGTTTCATTTCTTTCTTCTGGAGGTTTCTTTGTGTTTGTGCATTTCCCGGCCCGTGTGTGTTGGTGATCAAAGATTCTGCTCTGATCGGACCCTGTTACAACGGTAACGTGAAAGTCCTGGCGAAGTCCCCGGGTCTCTAGTGAGTCCCGTCACAGAGGCGCCTCTCCTCGCTCGCTCTCAAGTTGACTGCGAATCAGAACCGCAAATCTTCAAATGGGACTGTCTGCAGAGGTCACTGTCTGCAGAGGCCACTGTCTGCAGAGGTCACTGTCTGCAGAGGTCACTGTCTGCAGAGGCCACTGTCTGCAGAGGTCACTGTCTGCAGAGGCCACTGTCTGCAGAGGTCACTGTCTGCAGAGGCCACTGTCTGCAGAGGTCACTGTCTGCAGAGGTCACTGTCTGCAGAGGCCACTGTCGGCTGCGTTGGTTTTGTCCGCAAACGCGGCTCAGAAATGCCTGAGTGAAGTTCTTCCCCCCACCATCTTCAAATCAGAAAAAAATTGTGTGTGCAGCAAAAATTTTTGTTTGTGCAGCTACGATTTTAAAGATATTAAAAAATGTTTCCAAAGGTCATGGAAGGTCAAGCAGCCACCACGTTCTTCAAACTAGACAAAATTGGTGTCAAACAACTCGACTGCGTTTCTGTTTGTGCTGCTTTGGATTTGACAATATTAGTGGAAGTTTAAAGGTCAAAACATCAACCAGCCTCCCCAACCTTTACTGGACCAAAATGACATTTGAACTTTCATTAATATCTTCAGAGTCAAACCAGCACAAACGTAGTGGAGTTGATTGATACCAGTTTTGTCTGATCTTCGGGAGGTGGGGGGGCCAACTTCACTCAGGTCAGAGAAACGTGTGCAGACAAAGCTGTGAAGGACAGAGGTGACGGACATCACACTCGTCCAGGTTTTCTCAGTCCAGGTTAGCTTGACCCCATGACTTGGACAGAGGAAACATCTCATTTTAACAAACACTAAAGTTTAGATTCGATAAAAAGATGTTCTTCAGGAAAGTGGTCTTGCAGCCATTTTTTACAATTTGCGAGGTCAGATTGACATGAAGGGAACGTATTTAAATTTGTCAGCTTTTGCTTGATAAATGGAATGGTTATTATCTGTTATGCTGCTTTCATAGCTGCAGTGAGAAGTCTGTGTGCGCCTCAGCTGTAGTACTCAGGGTACTTGGCTTTTTGTAGAATGTCGGTCGCAAATACGTCTGACCATTGAATCTTGCATTTGTCATTATCTTCTCAAACATAATGACAGATGATGACAGACTTGCAAGAAATAATAAAGACACAAAATCATTTGGATGAATTAAAAGTGTGACATTATGCACATGACTCGATCTGTAAATGTGAAGAACTTTCCTAACCAATAAAGTCAGTATAATTAAAGTCAGTGCATAGGCCACACTTTGTGGAAAGGATCATCTTTTGGGGGAGAAAAACAGGGCAGGGTTTCAACAGTGGGATGTAGAAGACATCATTTTTAGGTTCCTTCAGGTCTAGAAGATCTAAAATATCTGATAGTTTTAAGCTGTGTGGGAACAGCAAGGTATGTAGAATAAACGGCATTATGCATAGTGATGACTATGCATAATGCCAGCAGCAACAATGTTGCCATGCTTACAATCACTCTTCTTATGAACAAAAGGTGAATGAAGGGATACAAACAGACGTGTTTACATTTCTCATATAAGCAGATGAAATAAAAATTTTTTTAAATGTTTTTCATTTGGTAAGATGATAATTCTCCACAATATAAAGACGTTCTCTCAGAAAGCCCAAACCTCACTTCTTACTTTCTTAATGATTCATGCTGGAGGTTTAATAAAAAATCTTGGATGAACCCAGAACACTGTAGCTGATGATTAATAAAAAAATAAAAAACAATCCTCAAAAATAAGACTTGTCTGCTAATTATGCACACAGTGTAAATGGAGTTTGTACAGTAGATACAGTGAGTGATCCTCTGGTATTCATGGAAATTAGAGCCCATAACTGCCTGGCTAACATCTAAAATCTGTTGCTATTTTAATCGTTCAAACACCTAATGTACCTGAATATGCATTAATCCTTACACCGCGTTAGCACTAGCGCAGAAGCTAACGGCAGCAGCCAGCCAGCATCAATGTGGCGCTTCTGGATTGGCCGCTTTCCAAACACCAGCCAATGCCGTGTCATGTAACATTGTAGCTAAATATTTCAGCTTCCCATGCCACATTTTCTTGTCGTTTTTTTTTTAAAGATATATTTGGTGCACAAGTGATTATAAATGCATAAGACATTCGAATTAAATCTAGAGGAACTTAATTGCAGCTAAGAAAAGAAAAGTTACTGTCATATATTCATGTGGAAACGTTCACAAAGCCATTTCTAACCAGTCAGGATGCCGGGCAAGCACAAACAAGAGCCATTTTCCACAAATGGAGGAACTATTACTCTGATAAATGCATGAAGAAGTCATTCAGAAGGCCAAAAAACAAACCAGAAAGGCCCTGCAGGTGTGACTCGCCTGAACCACAGACGCCGTTGTTCATTCAACCATAAAATGGAAACCTAGGAAAATGGCACCCATGGGAGAGTTCCCAATCCAAAACCTCTGCTGAGGGAAAAGAACACAAAAACCTGGTACCGCACTTACCCTGAAGTGGAAAATCCATGAATGCTTTATATTTATTTCAGGTTTTATTTAAATGTTCACACAAGTTTTAATTGCTTAGATTATTATTTTTAGCTTGTTGCAATCGGCTGTCCGTAGCAGGTATGTCGTTTCTAACTGGTTTAAGGAGCAAACCTCAAAAATACTAAAATATTTGGTAAAAAAAAAAGAAAAGGAACTAAATACCCTGAAGCCAGGGGGCGCTGTCAGCCGGCCTGTGAACATCCACACGCTGCGTTCTGCTCTCCACCTCGCCTTCATGTGAAGTGATTTAAGGTAATCATGTGGGCTGATAGTCCAGTCATTGTGATATGTCCTCTATTGATTTAGACTCTTTAAATGTTTCTTCTCTCCAGCCGTGTGAGGCTGAGTAACGACAGCCGGGATCAGGTTTCTGCTGCTGCTCCGCTCAAAACTCTGATGTTTTATCTCACACTGATGTGTCATGAAACGTCCTGCAGTGTGAATCACACATATGTAGAAAGACAAACACATATTTTTTGTAAAAGTTACATCGTGGAGCTTTATAATGGAATAACATCTTTTCATGTGGATAAAATTTGGCACTATACAAATAAAGACTGATTTGATTCAACTGATAAAATAATACTGACGAACAAAACTGTTATCTTAAATTTTCATTTCTGCTGTGAATTCTTTCCAGTTGCACCACATGTAATAAACTGTCTGTTTTTGATTGTTGGCATTTTTAATGAGTAAAGATTACCTGCTTGTTTTGCTTCATTCTGTTTTTGCTCTTTCTTTTTTCTCAGTAATAAGCAGCAACAATGCACAAGTAGTGATAATTGTTTTTTTCTTCTTTTTTTTTAGCTCCTGAAACAAATTAAAACATCTTTTTAGCGTCTGGTTTTCGAAAACGTTTCCAGCGATGCACGTTGAGTCTGAATGTGCCTCGTTTTCACTTTTCACATTCGCTATATGATCCATCGCTTTCACTCCGCTCCACACTTCCTTTAGTGTGAAGAGTTGTTTTTCCCCGTGGACGGTGAAGTGCAACAAGCTACTTTCAGCAGCTTTTACCTCTGCATATGCAGCAGGTAAAAGAGGTTTTGTTTTGTTTTGAATTTATTTCAAGGAAAAATTTAAGGTGGAAAACGTCAAAGGTGCGTCGAGAGTTTTGAAAGCGCTGGCGGCAAAAAAAATGGTTGCCAAAGTCAGTGAACGGCGGACTGAAGGGGAGCTGAGCTGTTCTCTGTTTGAGGAGAAAACGGTGTCATGTTTTTCATAGTCGGTCCTCACCGTCCTCTCGTAAAACCAATGCAAAAGCCTGGCTGTTTACTCCCAGCTGTCAGAGAGAATAAGCCCATGGACAACATGGTGGGCAGTTCTGGCAGCCAGTCACAGCGGAGAGGGGGAGGGCTTACAGAGGTCAAAGAAAAATGAAAATAAAGAGAGCTGGGAAAGAGATGTGGAGGAGGATACATCAGAATAACCTGGGAGGAGGGGGAAAAAAATTGCTCATGTGTGAGCAAAGCACACTCACATCACATGCTTACTCACTATTTAGCGAGTGTGTGTATCTGCGGGAAGAGACAGGCTGAGAGACGATCCTCCGCCGGTGCTGCGGGCGGCAGGTTTTTGGCAGCAGCGGCGCTTTCAGGGGTGCGGGGGATGGAAACACAGAGAGTCTGAGGAGGAGATGAAGGCAAGAAGAAGAGAGGATTTGACTGTACCAAGCCGGCGATGATGGGTGGGAGTAGAGGGTGGTGGGGAGGGTCATGTTCAGCATGAACAGGTTTAATAGTCTGACTTCGTTTGACCTTGGGGCTTTTGCTGCATTTTGCTGTACCTGAGCGCTGTGACCGCTGAGCAGATACATGCCCAGACTTTGTTCCTGAGGCCGCGGACGGCGGTGAGCGGCTAACCGTGCGCGCGGCTACAGATGTTCACGGTGCGGCGCGACACGCCGGTGATCTTTGAGGTCAGCTGTTAGCGGCGGCGGGCCAGGAGTGGTGGAGACTTCTGACCTACAAACCTCCACTGAACATATCCAGCTGTTGGTGTTTAGACCGGATTACTTTAGCCACATTCAGAATCAGAATCGGTTTTCTCCACTAAATGTGTTCACACACACAGGACTACATTTCCCATAACCCTGCCTTAATTTCCTTACTCTTAGACCCAGGGAACAGGTGTTTCTGAAAAAAAACAGACTGGAAGGTTAAATGAGCGGTATCAGGTAAAATTAACTTTTGAGCTTTAAATAATTTTATAGAGTTAACAACTCATGAACATACCTGGAGTGTTGCCTTGATTCATTCATGCATGTTTTTAGAAATTCTTTCATCTCCATGGCAACTATTCAGCCAAAACACCCGAGTTCCACTTAGCAGAGCACATCTCAACCTCTCAGCTCCTTCAGACTAGCCAGCAGAAATTAGCAAACGCCTGCTGGAACATCTGCTGAGGTCATTATAGGAACTACTTCTTCCAGCAGCGCTGGCAAAAATGTTGTCAAAATGTCATTAGAACAGCGATGTTATAATGTCTCCCGAAGACGGAGCTTCACAGAGAGTAGTAAGTTCTTAAAGAGACAGATCCCCAATTCCAGTAAAAGGTTTTTTCAGTCATATTTGATATATACAACATTTTAATGACAATTGAAGGCTAACATATTTACTCGACTGCTATAAAATGGCACTATGTGCCTGGAAAACACATAACACATCTACTGCCTCCAGAAACAGTCCAAGTGCTAAAATGAACCATCCAGGTTTCTGGCATAACCCTACTGCTTTTGGTGTCTTTAAAAGCCTCCCAATTATAACATTACAATTGGTGAGTACTGCTGCATTGCCTACCAACCCAGATGAACCTAGTCAGCTGCTTTTACTGCTGTACAATGGCTGCTGTAAAAGACAAGTTTAGCTGTTGGCTTACCGGTTGCTGCATCCTCAATGGTTGTGCAGGAGGCCCCATTTCTTCCGTTTTATCCTTCTACAATTGTCCATCTTATTTGCAGCCTCTTTGACATTAAGCTGGGGGTGTGGCCAGCAAGAGCTTATTTGCATAAAAGCGACGTAACCCTAAAATAGCAAATTTTAAAAGGAGCTCAAAATCTCATTATTTGAGAATGACTTCATGCAGAAAAAAAATTTAATGAGCATGTTTTATATGGGCATGTCCTAACTTCTTTCAAAGTAAACAATTATAAAAAACTGTTGTTGTTTCTTTGTATCTTTCTCCAGGACATTTCTGATTGGTTTGGACCGCCGTCTGGTATATTTTTACATTTTCCACAGAACTCCGGCGCAGAGCTTATTTTATCACTCTTGCAAGCATATTTCTAAATGTCACAAGTCTAAATCAAAAAATGCTCCTCTAAACATGACTCTGAGTTTGTGAACACTATTTATAATACCCAGAGCAATGTTCACTGAACAGTAATCATAAATGGCAATGCAAATGAGAGCTATGCAGTTTATAAATGAATCAATACCACAACACAGCTGCTGATATTTAACAGTTCAGCAAAAAAAAAAAATCTGTGTTGCAAAGAGAATTACTGAAATCAGTTGCTTCCCATTTGCGACTTGTGCAAATGGGATGTTTATGTTTATGGATAAATCATGTTGCAGGCAGAGCTCTACACTGACATTAGATTGTAAACATGGTTTTCACAACATTTTCGTTGGATAACAGCCCCCACTTTGATCTTTTTTTTTTCTTTTTTAAGCTGCCTGCCTCAGACAAAATCATTTTTTACTTTCCCCAAAGGAAAAGTTGGTCAATTGTTTTACAGAGCTTACAGACAGGGCTTTGCAAAGAACTGGTACCCAGCTTCCCCCAGGCCATTTTTAATTGAACAGACATAGAAAAAACATTTCCTTTCATTATCCAAAGTGAAACTGTGGTAGAAATGTGATAAACGGAAAGTTGCCCAACAACAACAACCGATGTCTGTGTGCAGATCAAAGGCGGTTTCAGATGATCAAATTGGTAGATTTTGTCACAGAGTTGGACTCAACTGAAACGAAAATGGCCAATCATGTCGATGGGAGACATCTTAAAAGACAACCGAGCAAAAAGTCTTACCAGGCCTGACTTTAAATGTCTTCGATAAGACCAAATTTGGATTGGGCCTGAGGATTTAAAAAGGGCAAGCAGTTGACGTAGAACGATGTCCAGGGATGTCGAGTGTTTGGAGGACAAGGACTAGCTTCAATATAAACATAAACCCATTTTAGTGACAAGCTCATATCAGAGGATGTCAGAGACCAACCAGTCTACATTTTGAAGATCAAAACAATTAAGCATCAGTATCAGAGTAACAAACTGTTGGGTGGTCTCCAAACAACAAGGAGAGTGCAAATACAATAAAGTTTTGATAAGAAATTAGGATCTTGATGAGCCGTTTAAAATAATTCGTCTCCAGAGAAAAGATTTCTGACATAAAGGAAACGTGAAACGCCCTTTAAGACATCAATGACATTGACACTAAATGGAACCTGTCCAGAATCTGTGCTCCACCTTTCACCGAATGACCCCTGGAGATGGACACCTTGGGAAGCCAACCTGTGACTTTGCAAAGATTAACAGCTAAATAGATGGATGCATGGTGCACTGAATATGTCTTTAGGTAAGGGATCTTTGCTGGTTTGGCAACTTGATGGTCAACCCAATGATCCAGATTCACAACCTGGTGAAGATCGGGAAAAAATATCGTGGCTACCCCGATCCAGTTCACTTTACAGGAACAAGCTGTTATTAATCACCACAACAATTTGCTTGGATGTGAAGCTTTCTCTGTCATCTGAATATGTTTATGAAATAAATCTTTGTATTTAAACAATATCAATATAAAAAGACAATAGAAAAAAAGAACCAAATAAATCTGCCATTCATCTAAGAAGCCATGAATGCGCCGTGTTACTGTGAAGGGTGACGCAGGAAGTACCACATTGCACTTTTTGAGTCTTATAGGTCCAATGGACAACATGCTCCTTTTCTACACACTGAAAAGACTAAAATAAGTGTGAAAAACTGATCGATGTTTCACTTAAGTTAAAAATGAAATGTAGGCTTCGATTTCTTTATTTATTTTTAATATTTGTACATCCAACTCCTGAGGAGTCAGTGCCTCACTAGTCAAGAGTTTCACAGGCTTCCCTCCACCTGCTTGATGCTCGTTGTGACCTGTATGTCCTCCAAAGACAACCGAGGCTGGAATCTGACGGAACCTGCAGATGTTGATTGATTTAAAGGTTTTGAAGGAGTCTCCAAGACGCCTTTAATCCACTGTAGTTAACACGCCAGGCCACTAGATGGCGGTGCAATTTTAGTATGCCATTGAACCCTTAAGGATTCCTCAAACATGCATGAAAGAATCAGAACACTTTTGACGAGGGAATAGCGTTGTAACATGATGTAGAGGTTAAAAAGTCGATTTTACGTAACACAGCGCCTTTACCATGAGTTTATGACAGCTGTGTTGCCTTAGTGACTCATTTTCAAGCCTTTTCACTTTTTTAATATTTGCACCACCTCATACGCACAGATAAGTTTAATCTCCAGACTGTCAATTACTTTTGCTTTTTAGATTGCGAAAGGTATTCCAAATGCGACCAGTACACCTTGGGGTGAATTTTAAAAAATGCATAAAAAAAAGATACATTCTTATTCTGTATTTTTTGAGTGTTGCATAAAAGTGACAGGCGGTTGGACACGAAGGGCGAGAAAAACTGAAATGAATGACTGGTTGCTGTGCCAACTTTTAACGAGTTGAGTGCGGTCTGGCTCTTTCGTCCGGTCACCGCTGAGGGGTTTCTTTCGCCCATCAGCGAGGAATGGAAAGATTTGTTGCATGATGAAGAAAAATCAATGCATTTCTAATCTATTCTTTGAATTCCATACTGTACGTCCCACAAGAAATAACACTGTGCAGTTCCATTCATTATTTTCTGACTGCAGGAATGGCTGCAATTGTCCCTACCGACAGTCTAGCTCAATCAATTCACTCACTCATTCCACGTCCAGGCTTCGAATCTCTCGTTTTCGGTCTTCTGTTTCATTTGACTACAGGGGAGCCACTGATTCACAAAGCCGCTCGCCACTCATCTGAGAGTGCAGACTTAAAAAACCAGGAGCGCTCGTCAAGTGTTTTGCCTTTTTCAAACATTTTTCTAAAGCCAGACAAGAAAACACATCGGAAACATTGGTTTTATTAGATAAGCACAGAGAGTTAAAGCCGCATTGTGTTGTCTCTTTTCTGTTCCTTGTCATGTTAAAGTGAGGTCAGTAAAGCCCTAGAAACATCAACACGGACAAAACAACGTGGTATTTAAAATGTGAACTTGTCCCAAATGTCCCAAGACAAAAACCCCCCCAAAAACTTAAATTTGTTTCATTTCTGGGTGCTATGTAGCCAACATCGTCTGTATGATACGTCGATCCCCGGTAGGTATGTGTGCGTGTCGGGGGGAGGGAGCGTGGGTCATTCGTGCAATTTAAGAGGACGCCCAACAAATCCCACGAGGTGAAACGGGATCCGGCGTTCGGCTTGTTGCGGTGTGTATGTGTGTCCGTGTTCTGGTGGCTCCTCCCTGTACGCCGCCTAATGTGCTGCCATCAGGGCTTTTACAGCCTGGATCTCTTTCCCGCGTCCTTCCGGAGACACTCAGACGTGTGACCTTCAGCACCACAGCTGCCTTGGGGTCCAGCCTATCCTTTCGAATTCATTTACCTCTGGACCCGTGTGTCTGTGTACTGTTGCACCATTATCACATTCACTTGTCCTCAAAAGGATGACATAATGAGGAAAGCCCCGAGAGACCGTTGTTGGCCTGAATTGTGAGTTGTACAGACTACATTATTCATGGATCAAATTTTTTTATTATTTTTTTTATTGATTATGCTATAGAAATTTAAGGACAAATAAAACATGATTAACATGTCGTAATATTGATTCTGTGAACATTTCCAGTATTAGAGGGAGGACAGGAAGACTGTTTTGTTTTTTTTTACACCCAGCAGGTTTTCTGAGACATTTTGTTTCAATTCACTTGTTTATTCGCCACCAGTGACTGGAGTATTGCACGCCGTCACTTTTTAGAAACAGTTTTTACACCACTGTTAGACAGTATAGGTGTTCTCAGGGGTCTTTACATCACAGGGCGTAAAAACAAAGTGAAGATTTGCCAAAAACAAACAAAAAAAAACCCCCAAAAACATGAAAGGCCTTGAAATCCTGTTTGTTGATCATCATTTTTGTTTTGATCGATCACATCAACAACATACGCCGGAGTGTTTTAATATAAAAAAAAAGACAGATGGGAA